ACAGGTTTTTCGGCAGCCAATTTGAAAGTAAAAGGAGGATGGTAATGTCGAGGTAGGAGGGTCATCCTTACTTTGATAACCTCTGACTTCCGAATCTCAAAAAATTCGGGCCGATATTCCCGGAGGGAGCCGTGGACAGCGGACAAAAATTTTTTGTGTTAGATTTTCGAGTTCTACCTATCGTGAATTCTTATCATCATTATTACAATATCTTATCATTGAAAATGACAAACCAAAATTGGATCATCTACTTCTGAAAGTTTAAATCTATATTTAATGGGTAAAACGGTTTAACTCTTTAAAAAAAAAAAAACAGGATTTTGACCAGCTTTTTGAGAAACTGTGACCTTCTATATATATCTCAGCAGTTTGGTATCAACATTTTCAAATTAGATTAAGTTCACCTTTCGTAATTTCCCCTCACCCAAAAATCTGCTATAAAGGTATATATGACATAGCCCTTAGATTCTATATGAGAATAATTCACTGAAAATATTTCTTATCATCGATAATTTCATATTTAATTGGACTGGAAAAGGTTACAAAACTGACTTCATAACCAGAAGAACCCAGTTTTATCATAAATATGATCTACCGAGTTTCATTTTGAAATTTATAAAAACATTGAGAAAAAAATAAGGAGCAATAAATATGAAATACCGTGTTGAGTCTTATATTTAATTTAGCATATTGCAAATCTTCGACGATGAGAGAATATAATATGGCCAGTGGCCGTGGAAAGACTACTAAGATTCTTTCTTAAAAAAAAAATTTGAATTACCAAAGTATACTCCAACACATTTTATTCACTTTGAGACTAAAATAGATCCGTTATTTATCTTCACCATTAAACTCCATTTTGATTACATTATTAGCTAATTTATATTTATTATCAACTCAAATTCAGAAAGACATATATAATCAATATGTGATTAAAGTCCAGAATTTTAAAACTTTCACTTTTTACCTTCATTTAATTTCAGTAAATTATATTTATGACAAAAGCTCATGATCAGATGGGTGATTAAGATTAGAGGTGATGTTTTGAACTTAAATTATAAACACTTCAAGCAAACAAATAATAATTGTAGCATGTGTGATACAAATGAAACAGAAGATCTATATCACTTCCTGGCTGCTTGTCCGATACTCTCTGAATTTAGAATTAAATGGTGAAAATCTAGAAATTTATCTCGGGATCAAGTAATTGATTTATTAAATGGAAACAATTGGATAGCATTGGTAAATTACTGCAAGTCTGCTTTCTCCTACAGAATAATGCTCACCAATTTATTTAACAATTAATAAATTGGATAATTTTAGTACCAATATTTTTGTAATTAAAATATTTATATAACTTTTACATTGTAAATATAATTGTTCTTATTTTGTTATTAATTAGTTGTATATAAATGGATTGAAAGATAATTTTGTTATAAAACACAGACTCCTCTGACGGTCAACAGACCATGTAGCACGTCTGATTTTCGGTTTTAAATTTAAAAATATTATTTAGTAGTTTATATTATGTAATTTTAATAAATAAAAAGACTTTTTCTTCTTCTTCTCTAATATGGCCATTAAGAGACTCCTCAAATGCCTTATGCCACCTATTAGTTTTTTTTTTCTTTCCGTCCAATCAAATAAGGCAAATTTAACACATATTTATTGCGAGTCATGGAAATACCACTATTTATAGGTATACTACGTATAAATAATTTAACTTCAGCTGTTAAATCAAAGTAAATGAATCTTGCTCAATAGCAGTAAATATTGGCCGCAGTAATGAGAGGTCGTTATAGCTGAAGCTGGGCTGTTCACTTTCGCTGAGGCCATTAACTGCAAACCGCTGTCACAGGTTTAGGTCTTGTTTTCACTCTTTACCTTTTGTGAAAGACTTCTCTTAAGACAAATATTTCTGAGATCACTGAACTTGAGAATATAATGTTGTTGTTTTGCCATAAATAAGAATATAGATTCCAAGGTATAGAGCTTACTCACAGGATCGAAGAGGGACCAACGCCTTTTGACTAAGGATTTATCTCAAAAAGTAGTTAAGAGACATTTCATAACCTTGAATTATTAAGGACTTTAAAGAATTTTCCCTTTGCGAAATCAGAACATTCTGTAATTCTAGAAACTATTTTTGATATATAAATAGCTTTGTTTCATTTTGGTACATTTCTTATGTTTTATTATCGATAAATAAAGTCGAAATTCACAAAAACATTTATAAAATTGAAGGTACATCAAAAATATATTACGTGACCTTTTGCAATTAACCGAAGTTATCTTCTTCAGAATACTTTCAGAACCACTGGGCATTGTACCCTCATCCCTCTAATGTTATTTTGATTTTATTTTTTTGACGAGAGTCCATTCACTAATATCTATGGTTACAGCGACAATGACTATAGTATTGAAAGTAAAAACTACTATTGGGTAGGCAAATAAGTCCCTTCGGTTTTTCTGTTTATTTTTATGTCACTATGATACATTTCTTATCAGATGAATTAATCCCTAAGGTAGATTTTTTATCCTGTTTGTAATATGTCAACAATTATATTGCACTGTGAATATGGAAAACATATCTTTCATTATCGCCATATTTTGTTGTATTATTTTAAAAAAAGGTAATCGTGCTTCTGATGCACATAAAAAAAAAATTGCAGTTTTTATTGGCATGATGCCTTAAACGAACGCACCTGTCAGAATTGGTTTGCTAAATTTTATTCAGGAAATTTTGACATCAATGATGCTCAACGGTGTGGTCGTCAACAGAAAATTTAAACGAGCAATGTTAAGGCCATTGTTGATCAAAATCCCACCCAATCGGTGCGAGAGATTGCTATGGCCCTAAATTTGTCTCACACAAGCGTAGAGGACCATTTGCACAAGCTCGGCTATGTTTCCAGGCTTAATGTTTGCGTCCCGCACAAGGTTTTTTTTTGATAATCACAAAAAATGTTATAACTTCAATGCGACTTTAGCTATCTAGAAGATATATAGCAGGAATTTAGGGTACATAAATTATACAAAATGACATTAACAAAACATACGTAAACAAACTGCAAATGGAGATAAAAATTAAAAAGCTAAGAGTTTGTGTTTATTTATTCCTTTTGTAGGCCTTAAATTAAAAAACCATTCATACGGCTTTGAAGAGCAATAACTCAGCTTTCCAACGGATTTAGTAACATCGAATTTATAGAAACATCCTGAAGAGTTATGAATGATCGAAAGGGTATATATTTGTACTATAGACTTTTTAATCTTACTTAAAGATATTTTCATAGCTCCTGGTCCTCCAGGATCTTGGAGCCGATAATCTCCAATCCCATAAAAAAAATTGGGTGGAAGATTGAAGCAAAATATTGCCAACCATCCTTCAGGAATGTTCCTGATAAGGAGGGAGTGAAATGTGGTCGTGTCTGTTTAGTAAACCACGTGTTCTCTGGATATCGAGAAGAAGAGAGAACTCAACGATCATTACTGTTTCCTATAACAGCCCAGCTGCTGAAGAAGTCAACAGACGTAGAAAATAAAATAAAGATATTCTGGATTTTTGAAATGAATAAAACAAAAATAATATTATTCTGGAACTAAAGTCACTTAGAATAACGACAGAGTTAAGAAGTTATGCAAATTAGTCTAGGATGAAGAAATACAAATCTATTAAAATAGATTTTAATTATAGAAAGAATTAATTTTTAATTGATTGCAGCGTATGAATATGAAGTCGGAGGTGGAATAATTGTTTGAAAGAATTTTGAAGTTGATTGACGAATGGAGATAGGTAAGGAGTTCCAAAAGGAGGTAGTACGAATGACGAAGGATGTGCTGAAAGAAATTATTTTATGGGAGGGAATATACAGATCAATAGGTTGAGATCTGGCATTAAATGAGTGGATATAGGAGCGCAGAGTAAGTAAAGAGTTATAGGATGTAGGGAGGACTTTTGTTTTAAGGATTCAGAAAAGGAAAACACCAACGAAAGTAGGATAGAATCACTACAACTCAATAGAAAATATAAGCATGTGTATTCTTATTAAGTTTCTAACGTTAATAGATACAATTTTTACTTTCGCTTACATATATATGTATAGTAAGAGAAAGTATTGCGATCGTGAAAATTTTCCAATCTGAGTTTTCAACGAAAATACACGTTTTGAGGTCCTCTGAGCCCAAATAACTAAGTAACGCAAAATGATCTTTGTGTATGTACGTGGTAAGTCCAGCTCAAAAACGAAAAGTCATAAACTTATATCACGTATTTTAGATAGGTATATGCCTTTGATGAAACAGCAACTATTTCCGTTCTGAAAAATGAATAAAAAGAAAGTATGCAATTTGATTTGTATATTGTGTATTTAATTTTTCACAAGTGGCAAGATATGTAATGCGACCCATCATACATATTTGATATTTAATTATTTGGAAGTTATAACCATTATGTAATAATTTGCAGCATTTTTATATTATTTTTACTATTAATGAATACAAAATTAGGATAATCCTGATACGAAATTCTAATTGATTTTATTTATTTAATTTTTAGCATTTATTTATTTTATAATATTGATGAATGAAAATTGTTAGAATAATCAAATATATATTATACTATGAATATTATATTTCAATATTGTTGGTAAAGACTTCAATAAATATTTGAAATAATAAAACACATTTAATCCTTTGTCCTGTTTCAGCCTTTTAGACTATCTTCAAGGAAATACTTATTCAAAAGAATGTGAGCACTAATATTAAGACAAAAGCAGGTGTCAAGGGAAAATTAGCCCAAATGATTTTATTTTTATTTTATTAATTATCTTCCCTTGGAAATGGCCTAAATTTTTGAAACGGTGGTTATAAAGGAAATAAAGTAAGATTAAGGATCAAATGTGTTTAATTATTATATTATTTTACTAAAATATTAATAAAAGCTTGTAATATTAGTAGAATACCTGAGAGACCATGGCGAAGTGAAGGTGAAGAGAACTCTAGCGGATGTAGCCTGGAGCGGACACTATATACTGCTTCCCCTCCCTGCTGCCCTCTACCGCTTCTTCGTGTGTCGTTACATCAGCTCCGATGGACAATGGCCTCTTCCGGCACTCCTACGTTTATTTACGCTGTATCCGGATTATCCGCTTCCAAAACGTGATACCTCTTTGGCAGGGGCGTCGTAGGTGAACGATAATCGGTCTCCTACGCCAAAGGCTACCAGGCCGATTTGCGACAGTCCCTGGGTGCGGCGCAGGGCTAGGATTATATAGAGGGGTCTCTTGTATCTGTTTGCAGTCTACTTATGTATTATAATCTTCCAACTATACGTCAACAACAACCGTATACGTCAACAATTTTCGAACAATATACAGGGTGTCCCGTAAGTAGAGAAAAATATTTAACAGGTTGATAGTAGGCATCAAGATCTACAAGAAAGTTTATATAAACAATTGCCCGATTTCACGGGCGGATCTACGGGGGGGGGCTTTCGGGCTGAAGCCCCCCCCCCAAAATGGTAAAATATAACCACGTTTTATCGAAAAAAATATTAAAAAAGTATCTCTTAAAGTATTATTTTTCGTGTGATTAATATTAAAAGGGCTTTAGGAATCACTTAAACACCATTTCATACAGGTTGTTAGTTTCTTTCTTTTTTTCTAAAGCAATTATCTTTATTTTTAAGAAAAAAAAGCTTTCGGGCTGAAGCCCTCCCCCAAAATTAAATCCTGGATCCGCTAGTGCCCGATTTCCAACAGAAAAATTAGGGAATTTAAGATTTGTGTTTTATTAAGCGAATCACGTGTTCTTACGAACAAAAAGCGAGAACTTAAAAAATAGTTGATTCAACTAAGTAAACATTACTCCGTAGTAATCTAGATAAAATTTTCTGTAAACTAAAGTATCCCCATTCCAACATAGATTATTACTGTAAGGCACGAAATTGGTTTTGTACTAAATATAAGCTCCTCAGGTCTGTAGATCGATACGGGACAAATTGGACCTTGATGATTTTGATGCGTACAGCAAGACCCGGATAGTTCCTCAGGAACTATCGGATCCTGCTTTTTTAAGCCCAAAAACGTTCTATTTTTGAGATAACGCAAGGCATAGGGTTCGCATCCACACAACCTTACGTTAATTGTAGTACTGTCATTGAATACATGTCTCATTCCGTCGACTTGAGGCCTCTATGATCGAGAGAGGAGGAGTTTATATTATTTTTCGATGGTATTTTTTGATCGGCAAGCCATATCATCGTTAATTCTTAACCAAATCTCAAGATTGAGCCACCAATTTTAAAGGCTTCCTTCTCCTTCAGTCCAATCACCTCGAAAATTCAGGCAAACATGTTATGGAAGAAAACAAACTTTGTTTGCGAATAACTAAAAAATTACACATTTTTTTCCTTGGTTATGCCCAGGATTATATAAAATATTACTAAATTCCCTGCAGAAGGAAAAAACAAATCATCGAAATCGGACAATGTTTAGCAAAGATACAGCTTATTGGAATTTGTAAACATGTTGGTTCCAAACATTAATGAAGATTTAAATTAATTTTTGTTTCCTTTCTCGAATGTTTATCGAGAAAGAAACAATTGATTTCTTTATCTTTTGATACGTTGCATTATTTTATTTTATTATTTATTTGGCATTTGAGAGCAATGTGCTGTGCAAATTTTTCGCACGGGCCTACTAGTAGTTTTTAAAAATATTTAAAGAGGATAATTGGACGGACAAACACAGCCAAGTTCCTTTTTAAAAAAAGTCATAAATTATTTGTTTTTGTTTTTTTTATCAACCTTTCACTGTACTACATTTACCCCACTTTTAGAAAAACTTCTTCGTATAATTAAGTTGAGCTTTATCGGGAAAAAATTGAGATTCAATTCAAGTTGTGTAAAGAAATTATATGATTTTCTATTCAGTCACCTTAGAGTACCCGTGTTTACTACAAAAATGACTACAATCAACTGTTGCAAAGCTGTTATTTCTTGATTTTCCGTGTATGAGATGTATTATAATAAACACAAAAACACATTTTAATAATAAAAATAAAAAAGTTAAAATAATGCTTTAAAAATATTCTTTATATAAAGTAGTTCTAAATTTGTGTTTTTATTTCAGATTTTTTTCATAGGAATTGATATGCATTTATCAGTGACAAATTTAAGGTTTTTTCCAAACAAAATTTATGTTTAGAATAAACAAAGAAACTTACTGATTGTTTCAATTATTTTCACGAAATCGTAAATATTAGGGCTAGAAACATCACGAAAAACGGTTTATCACGGAAAAACAAGAAATAACAGCTTTACAACAGTTAATTTTAGTATTTTTTTTTTTTTTTAGAAAACACGGTTATTTTGAGGCGACTGGGAAGAAAATCGCATAATTTGTTTATACAACTTCAGGTGAGTCTCAAAATGTTCCCTAATAAATCTCAACTTAATTAATGTGGACTTAAATTTTATTAAGCGAGAACGTTTTTCTAAAAGTGGGGTAAATGTAGTACGACTGAAGAATGATAAAAAAAAAAAAAAAGTCACAAATAATGTATCACTTTTTTTTTATCGGAACTTAGCTGCCCAGTATTTCCCTTTAAATAGTTTTAACAATTAATTTGTCTATTTTAAACACGCGTAATTTGTCTATTTTACTGTGGAGCAACGTTTATTTATTTAAATAAAATATTTTTTAAGTTCTCACTTTCTATTCATCAAACCATCTCGCACAGGTCGATGGCGCAAGAATCTGCCCTCCCATGATATTTTATTGTTCACTTTTCTTAGAAATAAAGCATGGTAAGATAGAATTAGAAAATCGTATATCATATACAATTACTCTTACTGGGATATGGTCCGTGTTTTTCCCTTAGTCAAAAAATTCATTACCCCTGTCGAAATTTTCCCCCCTCAAAAATTCAAAAACCCGTCAAAATATGCCAGCCTCAAAAACTTTTATGGCGCAACCTGCGCCATGAAACCACCTTCTGGACACCCCTTATGTCTATTATCAAACTTTTAAATATTTCCTTTGATTTACGAGACAGCCTGTATAAACAGGGCGCATCGGGGAGTAGCGAGTCGAACTCCGGTAATGGGTTGCACTTATCTGATTTTAATTCATTAAAATTTAAATTAGCAAATTAAAAATAACCAAATTTCACGAATAAAAATATTGTACTATCATTTCGGTTATCAAAGTCTTATTTTAATAAATATGCGAAAATACCATCGTCGGTTGCCCTACTCATCGTTTCATACCTCCCTTTAATGAAACCTATTTTTCATACGTTAAATTAGTGCATCCAAAGTGTCTATTTTTATGTTTTATATTTCATCTTAGAACCAGCCTCATTAACAATATTCCAGTACCGTGGAGTCTACTGATTGGAGTGAGCTAATACTGATCTTGGACTACACTACCGCGACCACTCCAACGATCTGGAAACCTTTCATCCAAACGGTGCCTCGCCTAACAGGCGAAATGAGCGTATGTTCTGTCAATCTGAAAAGAAATTAATAAATTGAATTTCCCCCCCTTTTTTTCCTTCTTCCCCCCTTGCATAGGCCTTCACTTGCGGGAGTAATAATAAGCGCTTCCACACCAAGGAGGGTCGTCCCTGCCCACAGCAGCTTCCAAACAGTTTCGCCTCTTAACCTTCTTTCTTTTTTGACGCCCTCGTCTTGTTTTCATATCATATGGAGTCCAGTATGTAGCGATTCTTGACCATCTATTATCATAGCTTCAAAGGAGATGATCAGCTCATTTCCATTTGCTAACTCGCGTCCGCCTAAGAGTATCACTCTGTCCTTTTTCCTCAAATTCAGAATACATCTTTGTATGTCCTCACCTGGATCTTCCTCTTTAGAGCTTTTGTCAATGACCACGATTAGTGACCAATGGAATTATGGAACTGTCGAAAACCTGTCCTTTTACTTATATTTCTTTTCGTGATATGCTGGAGGGACCAAAACTTGTTCCAGCCGAGTGGCATTCTCTTCTGGACTTCCTTTATTCCTCTTCCTGCGAATGATACTAACTGGTCCAAGTAAATATACTCCTCTACATCTTCAAAACTGTGGTTGTTTAACTTACAGTCTTCTTTTTTCTAATTTGCCATTAATTTAGTCTTCTGATAGTTGAGGTAAAGGCCGATTTCTCCACACAGTTTTAAAAGATACTTGATCAAAAGAGCATATGACTACTTTTAAATTATTTACTGTGTGCAACTCACTCCTGGAGTTTGGCCAATTCATCTTGTATATAAATGCATATATACAGTGAAACATTCATTATCCGATAATGAAACCCGAGAGAAAGATTATCAAAAACGTAAAATTTCTGTAAATGTAAACTGAATCGCTTATTTCCGTTGTGAGTCCTGATCGATTTTTTGGAAATCGAATAAGCATCAACTCCTTTGTAAAACACCCGATGAAACTGACGCGCAGTGGACTTTCAACACAATTTAACAAGGCAAAAGTCAATTTAAATTAATAGAGTATTCGTACTCTTTAAATCCTGCAACAGAAATAGAAATAGATGCAGAATAGCAAATAATGTGTTGTTCACTGAATACAAAAACTCCTCCCCCAAGGCTATCACAAAGATCATGATGACCTAGCGAAGGAGCTTAGTCTAAACTTTAGCATTTTGGAATCTAGCGACGCCGGTTCGTATCCGGTCTGGTTGAAAATTATTACGTAGTAGGCGTGGAAAGAATCTCGATCTCATTCTGTTTAGAATAGTTTTGGTTGTGCCCCTGGTACAAACCCCACCCTCCGTATACCAGAAATGTCGAGGTATTAGGTAAACGTTATAAAGTATTAGAAATACAGGAGATATAGAATGAAACAAAAATAATTATATTCAAAAAAATATTCTTATTTGTTCTTCTATACAATGTAGAGAATTAGATTGGTACATGAATAAGGTATCTACTATACAAAATGAGGTATGATCTTAGAAAAGTCCTGGGTAACCTAAAATAAATTCTCGGAGGAATGGAAGAATAAGAGAAATCCTTAATATAGGATCAGTAAAGTATGTTTTAGAATAGAGATAAGTAACTCGGAATGTATACCATATGGGCGATATACGAAATGGTTCATTGAGTTAGAAGCAAAATAGTTCTAGGAAGCAAAACAGCCGGAAGTTGACCCAGAAGTAGGCCGATGTACAAGGGCTACATACTACTAGGAGGGACTAGAGGCAGAAACATGATGAAGATGAGGGCAAAAGCCAATCACAGAGTTCGGTGGGCAAGATGGACGAGCTGAAGCTCTTTGTCTACGTCAATGGCGCTGAGGGGTTTTGCAAGAGAAATAGAGAAGAAATCTTGCAATTTTTAAACTTTTAAATATCTGCAAAAATGCTCAACTGTTTATATTTATAGATTTATAGTTTTTATTGACTTTTCTCAGAAATATGCTCATTTTTACTTTCACTTACCTATGTATGTAATTGTTAAAAAAACTATTTCATTGTACTTGTGTGAAAGAAGAAGTAAAATATAAAATAATTTCATGGATGTATAAAGCATATGTTAATAACCTAAAATACATTTACTGTAGTTTAGTGATTATAGATCTGATATTATATTTAAATAATTAGGTACCAACGTTTATTCGGAAAAATTGTCTTGTAACTTTTTAGAAAATTAAATTAGTGAGTAATTTGATGAATCTTCTCTGTGTGATATTCCAACAGTATCCACTACTATTTCATTGTACTTGTATGAAAGAAGAAGTGAAATATAAAAATATTTCATAGATATATTTGTAACCTTAAATATATTTATTGTAGTTTAATAACTCTAGGTATCTATCATCCGTTTATTCCGAAAAATCATCGTGTACCCTTTTAGAAAATTATATTAGTGAATAATTCGATAAATTTTCCCTTTGCGATATTCCAACAGAATCCATTTACAATTAGTTTGACAACTTTTGACCTTGAAAGTTATGTGTTGCGTGCACCAGATTTTTTTATATCTGAAGAAGATAATTTTCAAAATAATAGCCTAATGATTGAAGATGATGAAGAATTAACGATGATATGGCACACCAGCAATAAAAAACTTTTAAAAATTAATTGTATCCAACTCGATGCTTACTTGTAAAGTGATTTTCAACAATTTTAGGTGTGAGAACTAGAGAAAAAAAGGTACAGCTTTTATGAAAGAAGGCGACATTCATGCTAAAAAAAAATATCTTCTCTCGGGTTTGAACGACGTTATAAAGATACACGTCTCAATTTCACTTGCGACTCAATGACGTGGTACCAAGGCAGGAAGAAAACAATTTTCTCCGACCGAAAAAGTTAAATTTATAAAGAGTAATTTATTTCGTATTAGTTTTTTTTTAAACAATCTATTAGCATCTTTTGAATAGATGTTCTGACGAAATATCGAGAATTCTGTTCCTTTTTTAACTATATACTGAATTACCTGGGACGATTATATTATTTTCCTCAAACATATTTTACTGATATTCTTTACGTGTGATTCTCACGTAACGGGTAAATAGTCTGTGGTCCAGAGCCCTTTTTATAAAATTATTAACACACGCCTAAAACTTCTTGAATAGCTTTGTCTCATCGTAACCTACAAATATTTTATTTAAGAAATTTCTCGGAATTGGCGAAGTTTCAAATTAGAGATCGACAAACTTTATTTATTTAATTGCTTTCCACTTTAATTGTAAGATAATATGATCACAAATACTCGAATATAAATCGGAAAACTCTGCATGATAGTAAATATAGTTAAATAAATGGACAAATTCAAGCAATACTTTGTATTTTCTTCTTTATTTATCAACTTCCATATGACTAAGAAACCAAATACGGTGGAATTCGGTCATGTTATTTTATAGGTTATAAATTCTGCGGGTTTTTAAATTTTATCTGAAAACAAATTCATTATGAAAATTGTTATATATTTAACAATGAAAAATAGCTAACTCTTTATATTTATTGCTCCCTTATCGGGTGATAGATAATCATGACTTCATTAATTTTTTTATCTGTTATATTTATCTGTCCAGCTATTATGTCCACTATATTTGTCGAAGTGTCATATTTGTATCTCTGATGATTAAACACAAATATGGGTTGAAACGAAATAAAAGAAACGCTGCAAATTGTTTCACAATGGTTTATTATTTCCAAACAATTAAACATCTAAAGTAACATTACCTTCTTAGTGATACAGCAAAAGAAATAAAAGGTGATTCCAATTATTGGCCTAAACATTTTTTTTCATCATTAGTAATTTAGTAACACAATCAAAAATCAGAACAAAGGATATAATCTTTGCAGACGAACATCTAAAAAACATCTAGAGACTATATCTTTGCTCCTAATTGTCCGGCTTTTTCTTTGTTTTTTTTAGGAAATTTCGTAAAATTTTATATAACCATACGAAAAAGTGTATACTTTGTGAGTTATTCGGAATCTAATTTTACCATCCCTCGTAACTTTTTATCCAGCTTCTTTTCGTTAAAGTATGTTACATAGATAAATTTTAAGGACATCGAGAAGAAGAATTTAGTCAAGTCCCATTGAAATTATGCGTTTAGGCGCTACGGTCTATTGCAATGCTGATTTTTCGGCCACCATATTTAAATGAAAAGGTGGATACTAATTTCGATGGAGGATCATCCTTGGGTGACTTATGACTTTAAATCCAAATTCGAAATAAAAATCGGTCCAGTAGTGTCGGAGAAAATACGCCGCAGAACGCGGACGGACAAAAAAAAAAACATTATTCGTTTTTCGAATTCTACGTATCCTGAAACGTAAAACCTCAAATTTTGAGAGGGTGTTAAGTTTTTGAATTTTTTGTTCCATTACAGTGGTTCATTATTGAAAATAATAAACTAAAAAAAAGTCCTGATTATCTATGACCTAGAAGATATGTAGAAAAGTCAAAAAATCCGTTTTTTTTTCTCCTTTAAATGATTCTGTACTGTTTTTCTACATTTTGTTTACAACAATAAACTGTTAGAATGTTTTAGATTTTAAAATCACTTTTAAGTTTTTTTTTTTTCTATTTTGCCCCATTATTCGTCACATCGCAACCATGCCATCTTATTTATACTATAAAACAAACTTCAGCTTCATTTTGTAGGTATGATAAACCCCAAGGCCATCAATGTTCTTTTTTTCTTTTTATCAATATACAACCTTTCCACTCCTCTTTCTACTGAACATGATCACGAGAAAACTTCTTCCGTCTTTCTTTATGTTCCGATCTAAGAGACGTTTTTATACCTTTCCATTTTTTTCCTCTTCATGTCGTTGCAGCGTGAATGAACTTTCTTATATTTTGCACTTTTTTTTTGTATTATACTCTAGCTCTGAGAGATATTTTTTCTAGGTGTCAGCAAAGAATTTGAAGCTCTCCGTTATATTTATCTGTTTTTGTTCTCAAGTGCATTTCCGAATTATATATACATAAAAATGTAGGAAATTTTAAATGCAATTAATTGTTTTAACGTTTTCAAAATCACAACTTTTAAAAATTTATCTACGATGGATAATAGGTATTGATGCATGATCATTGAAGTAATATATTGGATTGTATTGTTAAAGAAATTTGTGGGTTACGGCATCAATGATTCATATATATATACATTTTATTTTTTTTTTTTTTTTTTTTTTATTTTTTATGTGCCGACGATTTGTCCCCA